TGTGGATGTCTCTTCCTCGTCTGACGCCGACCCAACGGTGGTGACAGGGAGTGGAGAAACGGTTGAGGGAGATGGATCACCCCAAACTCCTGAGGTGAGCATGAGCTCTGGTGAGGATGGGGAGACAACGGGAGGAACGGATGCGCAGGGAGAGGAGGGAATCCATTCACAGGCCGGGGAAGTAAAGTCTGCGGCACTCAACAGCAGCCTCGGAAATTCGTCGCAGGGGAATAACAGCGATGCGTGCAATGTAAGTGGGAGTGGACTGCTGCCATCGCTGCCATCGCTTCTTCTGTTGGGACTGTGGGGGTTTGCGACTCAGTGAGGCGTGACTGGCTGCCGCGTGGGACACTTGCGACCTCCCCAGCAGAGAATTGCGTCCAAGAACTAATTTTTTCCCTTGAAATAATTTTTTCTTTTTTTCTTATTTTAAATTTAATTTCCTGTTTGCTACTTTCTTTCGTTTTTTTTATTTTTGTTTTATGAGCGTAATTTTAAACCTTTTTTGCGTTTGTTTTTTTTTTGGTTGTGCGTTTTTCCTTTTTGTTTTTTATTTCTCAATTTCTTCATTTTTTTTTTTTTTTGCTTTTGGGGCAGTCACTATGGACGTTTTTTCTTTTCTACTCTTCCCTCTTTTAATTGTTTGTTGCTGCACTCTTCCTGCGAGGGGTGCCGTGTGTTTCCGCCCAACTGCTCCACTCGCACACCCACCGACACGCTCATGACGACGGCCCTGTGCGCCTCGCCTGCTGCACGCATGAGGAGGGCCGCGACGAACGGCGCGCTGAGGGAGCCGTGACGTGTGGGCGTGCGACGAGGGCCTGTGGGGCGGAGCACACATTTCTTTCCTCTTGTTTTCTTTGCGTCCAGGGCGGGCAGACACCCGCAGCGCCACACACACAGCCACACCCTGCCGCCGTGTTTTTAAGATTTTTTTTTGTGTGTATGTTTGTATGCTGCCACCGTGCGTGATTGTTGATGTCGGGGCCGTACCGCATGTATCGCTGCCATCCAGCTGTGCCGCTCGCTGTGCTGATGTGCCTCCCTGTGCTCCTCCTCTTTCCCGCTCCTCCAGCACACACAGACATAAGTATTTGCACAGTGCTCTGCAAGAATGTATTTGCACTGCCGGGTGTGTGTTGCTCGGTGTTTGCTGACGCGTGACGGATGGTGCCACGATGGCCTCCTCCGGCGATGACAGTCGCTGTGTTCTCGGCACACTTCCACACACTCTTCCTTGTCTCTCTGTGGGAGTGAGTGCAGCAGGAGCGTGGTCTACGACTGCGGCTGTCGGTGCTGCGGAGAACGAGGCGCCGAGGAACAAGAGGGTGGTCCTGCTGGACTAGATTACGATGGCGGATGAAAGCCGTTTTGTTGCCTTTGCTTCGTACATTGCTAAGAGTGCGCCGTGTCGCCGCCTGACGGGATGCCTGCACTCGGTACCCTTTGAGGCATTGTGTTCTTTTGTTTAGTGTGATGTCACAATCATCATGGCAGCACCTTCCCTCAACGGCTTTGAGTGTGACAATACGAATGACGGCAAAGAGAGCGATGAGGATTATGGTGACGACTTGCACCGAGGGGCGGATTATTCGCGTGTCTTGGCACACGAGTAACGGGAGGGTTTGAATGCCGTCCCCACAATTCCCGGCCTTGAGGAAATGTTGGCCTTCGCGCTGTCACCCGCCGTAATTAGTGCCCCATGCGTTGAGGCTGATCCATTTACCGTGGAGTTCACGCAGCAGCTCTCGAGTGGTTGTGCTGCTGGTCCCGCGTTGGCTCTTTCGCATGTATCTCAGGGTTGCCTGGCGTGTGATTTGTTGTGTGTTGTCCAGGCCGCCGCCTCGAGTTTTCTTTTGCTGCCCAATAAGAAACACTTTGCGTTGCGGTGGGTATTTATTTGCGTGGCCGTCGACGCGCGTGACGATGCTCAACGGGTGTTTCTTTTGTTTGGCGGGCACGAGGGAGACTTCGGTGTGTGTCGACACCCCCGCGAAATTCTTTGTTGACGGATCGAGGCGAAAATAAGGGAGGTCTGTCCACTGCATCTCTCAAGGCAGCTGCGGGGCACTCCGAGCGCACAGAGTGGATGGATGGATGCCGCGCAGCTGGGGAGACCAGTTTTCTTCTCCGCCCTCCGTTGCCAGGGGAATCGAGAATCCACAGCGTCACTGCCAGCTGCATTTTACTGCTGGGGATCGACTGTTCTGTAGCTGCCCATCTAATGTGGATCGCAGCGTCAGTGCAGGAAGACGCTTTCACGCACTGCGAGTAGTTGCTCCAGGCTCGAGCTCATCAATATTCACGGCAGGGAGCCATGCATCTGGTGGCCGGTGACGTTCAGACGAGTGTTTCACTTCATCCGCCTCGTATTTGTGAGGGACACTGCGCATCGACCCTCCCCAACAGGCCCACCACCTTCACTTTCCCCCGCCGACCGCTGCCCTCTGCTGACGGTACAGTTGCTTGGCTCCACCGATAATGCGCTCGTGAAACTTCCTCTCCGCACGCTGCAGGATTATTGCCGTGGAGGAGTTGATGGCATGTGTTGCGGATGTGGCGTCGGCGAAATCATCCACACTTTGTTTTAGAAGCATTACTTTGAGTCGTGTCAGTCACGCCGTGTTTCCTTTTTTCTTGCTGGGAGTCCTGTGGGTGTGTTTGAGCCCTTTAGGAGCCTGCGTAGAGAATGATCGCGGAAGAGCTGGCTGCCTTAATGAATGTGTATATATATATACCCTGACAAAACGAATATACACTTCTTTACGACACTTTTCTGCCGTATGAGTTTTGGGACGCCACGACTTTAGGGAGCCGACAGCGGCCGGATAATTTTTATTTTTATTTTTACCATCGCACCCACCCCCTTTTGGTTCCCACCACGCGGCGGGGTCTTGTGGCTGCAGGATCCCAAAAGTGTGCCACGTCGTAAGTAATAAATAAATATATGCATCCTACCCGAATAGAGTGAGCGGGCCACAATTGTGGCTGACGGATGGTATATAAACATACAGCTACCTGGTGCTGAACTTTGAGGGTGTGGTGAATCCACTCTTATTCCGTTGATCCCCCACTTATTTCTATCGTGTTTGGTTTCTATTGTTGATAAACTCAGGATTCGGCCAGCGGCCCGGAAGATTATTCTTTATTGCAGCACTGTAACAAAGGGAAGCAGGAACAAAACAAAAACCGAATTATTGGCCGCACCAACACAAGAAACATTCACAAAAGGAAAATAATTTTTAACCCTGCGGAAATCCCCAACACACGACCCAGGCATGAAGGTTTGCCGTCTGCAAAAACAAAACAACATATGCAGACATCTGCCAACATCCGAACAGAAACACAAATAAATGATTGCTTGCATTATTCCATTCCTTGCGTTTATTTTTGCGTGTGCGGCTGCTGCGGTGGTGGCCGGCCTGCATGAAGTGGTGTGCGCTGAATATGAGCGAAGACCGAAGGCAACTGAAGTGTTGCTTTGTGGTGAATATTGGCTGCACTTCCCGTGGACCAACAATCCGCGTGGTGTGCAGGGATCTCCTTTTGTATTGTTACTATGCTTTTGTGTTGTTGTGTGCGCTGCACCTTCTTGTGTGTGTGTGTGCGCACCCTCCGTGAGGGGTGCCGACACGACGGACCGCTCTCGCCGCATGTGCATGCGGTGGAGCCTTGTGTGCCGCTCCTGTTTGCTTCTCCCTCTTCCATCTGTGTGTTGGTGTTGCGGCAGGGCTGTGTGTGTGTGTGCCTGCTGCCGTGGATTGGAGTGTGTGTCGTGCGTGGTGTGCGGCGTACGGTGCATGCCTGGCTGCTGCCCTCTCCTCATGTGGTGTGCCCTCTGTGTGTGTCTGCCGCACCTCTCGTCTCCCCTGTTGCTCTCCATGTCCCTCACTGTGCAGATAAGCTCCACACCACTGAACGACCACATTCACGATGATGACGTGCCGTCTGCTGTGCGCCCTGTTGGTGCTTGCCCTGTGCTGCTGCTGCCCGTCAGTTTGCGCGGAAGATGAGGCTGCCGCTTCTTCCCAGACAACCACGACGACGATAGCACAGCCACAAGTTACTAATGGCAAGGCTAATACTCAAGCTGTTGGAAAAGGCGCTGGTCAATCGTCTCCACCACCAGAGCCATCACACCCCGCCGCCGGTGAGCCAGGATCGTCCAGTAATGCGGCCGCTGCAAAGTCGGGAAATGGTGGCGGAGGGAGACCAGGATCTAGCAGTATAGGAACGAATTCAAATGTGGTGCCCAATACGTTACAGGAAGAAGGCAAGGACGGTACGACAGGAAGACAAAGTGGCAATAATACATCCGCCGATAAAGCAGCTCAGGAGGCCAAAGATGTTTCCGCGACGACCACTACGACCACAACAAAGGCACCAACCACGACAACCACCACTACAACACAGGCACCAAGCACTACGACTACAGAGGCGCCAGCTGTGTCGACCACCCGCGCACCGTCACGTCTGCGCGAAATCGACGGCAGCCTCAGCAGCTCTGCATGGGTGTGTGCCCCGCTGGTGCTCGCCGCATCCGCGCTGGCGTACACCGCTGTGGGCTGAAGAGGTGTGTGCGGGCTGTGCGTGCCAGCACTCAACCGCGGGGATTTGTGCGCGTGTGTTGTTCACTGTATAAAATAAGAGGAAATAATGATCGTGTTTTGCTTCAATTGCTTCTGCTGCCGTGCTGTGTGCTCCGCGTTGTGCCCCGCATCCGCCACGTTGAACGCATCGCGGACACACTCATAAGCATGCGCACTGGAGCCCTGGGTTTGTTTTTCTTTTTTAATTTCTGTTTTTTAATTATTGTTTTTTATTGCTTTTTAAACTTGTGGTTTGCGGTGCGGTGTGCGAGCTCTGCAATCGCACTGATTCCATGTGTCTCGTGGTGTGTGCGCTGCTGCTGCTGGGGTGCTGCCATTTGTTGCTGTGCGGTGGCTGTGCGTGGTGTAGCGGCTTTGTCTATCTTTTTACTTCCCTCTCTGTTGACGTGGTGTTAGTTTGTGCTGAAGGCTGCAGGCAAGTGACAGGAGTGATGGCGATGACGATGACTGGCCGTGTGCTTCTGGTGTGTGCCCTCTGCGTGCTGTGGTGCGGTGCCGGTGGTGGATGCGCTGAGCGCTTGGCAGCTGCTGCCGATATACCTGTTGGTTCTGCGAGTGGTGGTGGAGGTTTGCTGGAAACGCCACCGCCAGTGCTGTCACGTTTACTTCCAGGAGAAACTGACGATGCTGAAGCCGAAGATGAAAATGAAAATCAATGAGTCGCTGGAGATGAAGAAACAGAGAATGGGAGTGAAGAAGAAAAGACTGCAACTGTGCTGGGCATTACAAACGGCACTCTGATTAGGCTTCAGCAGGAAGCACCACACACCATTGCAGGCAAAACTTCGGCAGGAAACGTTGAAGTTGCTGATGTGGAAGGAGTTGGAGAAGAGGAAAAGGTTGAAGAAAAAAAAGGTGATAAATTCAAAGAAGATCTTGGAATCACTCCGTTGGCAGTGACTGAATCGAATCCGACTGACGAAGAGAACCCACGGCCACAGCCACCGAATGAAAAATAAGAAGGTGAGGTGGCGAACCCCTTAAATGGCAGCTCGCCGGGACTTGGAGTTCAGCAACAAGTTTTATCGGGTTCGTTGGATGGCGCACCAGCCAAGAGCAGAACGGACGCTAATCCATCGTTCCCATCTAGAGGTGGACGTGCTGTTGACAACAGTGAGGGGAGGGAGGATGGCTCAGGGATTACTGAACTGCCTGCCGCCAGAGAAGGACAAGGCAAAAAGGAATATGGCAGAAGCGTTATATCAACGACAGATGGGAGAAAACATTACAATTATCAGTGAATAAAGCCGCCAACACGAGTGATGCGGCAATAAATGACAACAGCAGAAGCAGCCCCACAGCAGCTGCGGGCCTGCAGTCTGACGATGGCTCAGAAAGCAATCCGGCCACAAACGGCTTGAGCCAACCCTCCAGTGGAAGAATCGCACAGCTCAGTACGACTCCCAATCCCAACGACGCATCAGGCACCACAGAGAATGCGACATCCCAGAGTGCAGGAATCCCAAGAGCACCAATTAACACAGCCAAAACAGATGATACGGTGCCACCTGACGACAGTGACAGCACTGTGTTCTCTCACACCACCTCCCCTCTTTTGCTTCTTCTTGTTGTTGCGTGTGCTGCTGCTGCGGTGGTGGCCGCGTGAGAGTGAGTGAGAGAGAGCCGTGCACCGCCCGCACACACACTCTTCCTTCTTTCACTCACTGTGTGTGTCCCCTTGCATGGACTCTCGTCCTCACCTCACCCCACGAGGCACACACAATAATGTGCCCATTGTATATATGCATGCACACCCATGCAGGCCCGTTGGTGCTCTCTTTTGCACGTCACGCACCGCTGCCGTCCTGCCTGGCTGCATGGGCGGAGCACCGTAACTGTTTCTGTTTTGTTTTTATTGCATTGAGTGGGCGACCTCTCTCTCTCTCCCTCTGTGTGTGTGTTTTGCTTTACGGGAGTAATGAGAGTGTGTGTGCGCTGGTCGTCCCACGCTTCGGCTTTTTGTTTTGTTTTTCTTTTTGATTTTGTGGTTGAGTGCACCCATTCCGCGGGATGCGTGTGTGTGTGTGTGATGATATGAGTAATTTGCGTGTGTGCTATCTGCCTCTCTCTGCCGTTGCTTTCTTTGGATTTCCTTGTGCCGCACAGCTGCTCTGCAAGTATAGGCGCTGCCAAACACACAAGCACATGCGCACACGCACACCATTTGGCACACTCTGTGTAGCGGCGTGAACGCTGAGGACGCACGCACTCTGCGGATGGTCACGGCGGACACTATGGGCCTCGGTGTGTTGGCGCCCGTGGATGCCTTTGACGACGCTCCAATCCGCCGCGTTGGAACGGCTGTGTGGTGGTGGGGCGGCGGGGACAGCAACGGCGCACACGCTGACTTCCACGCCGTGGACTCACAGTAACCTTTTGGACAGTGGCGGTGCGGATGGAACTGTCACAATGATCGCACCGCCGGCATTCTTGTTGTCGAGTTCCCCGAAATGAGAGCAGTGAAAGAAGGTTCGTCCGCATGACTCTTTGCATCTCCGCTTCAGGTCTGTGCATCACAATTGGGGTTGCCGTGCGGTTATGCCATCTGACATGATCTGCTGGGAGAACGCGCCGTGCGATGCTCCAGCACCTTGGACTGGTGCTGTGCCGTTGGCGGCTGTTGAGTGGCCGGTCACACAAATATTGCAGCACCACAAGGAGGAAGGACCAAACACTCCGCGTGGAGGGAGCGTTGTGGCCGATGAGGACTCTGTGCGACGGTGATGGACGTTCCCTCGACGACGGATTGACGGTCAGTCTCTTTGATGGAGTCGGTGCGCACACAACATGCGGTGTGTATGGCCGCTTCTGTGGTCTCCTGTTACTCCGCAGCGTGCGCCACATTCTGACGCATCACTGAAACAAAGTCATCTTGTTTTTTTTCCTCTTTTTC